GCAAGCATCTTAGGGTTTAGGGTTTAGGGTTTAGGGTTTAGGGCCCAAAGTCTGACTTAAACCACTGCTTAATAGACTTAAGAGAACTGCCCCTATAGAACCCTTATAGTACCTTCATAGAAACCCTTATTTCTTCCAGTTGGGCCTGTCTTTCCGGGGCCGAGGGTTAAATTGGAGACACCGGTCGTGGTCGGAGGTTTAAAGTTCAGATGTTTACTTGTGGACAGGAAAACTTGGAATTGGCGGAGCTCTAGAGCTACTGTACCCGAGTCCCAACACCAAGTCGTAAACCTACCGCATCCAAGAATGAGTTAGCCTGGGACCCTAACCCCCAAACCCTAAATGAGGTTGAGCCTCAGCTCAGTAGTTTATGTTAGGACTGTTAGGATCTTTTCCAGAGCTTTGCGGTGGTTCTGCAGGGATGCAGGGAGTTTGGGAAGTTTTCCAGGGTTGGGGCTTAGGATTTAGGCGTGTTTTTTTGTTACTACCCTCCAGACCGTACCTGGGTTAGGGCTTTGGTTGTAGTTTCTGGAAGCATCACTGAACTCAGCAAGTAGGTTTTTACATATACCCTATACCTTTCCTTTTACTTGTAAACGTACCCCAAACGCAAAAGCCTGAAATAATCTCCCCCTTCACCACGGACTCTGCTGCCTCCCAGCCTTCCGAGGGATGTGCAGCTGCAGGCGATGAAGAATGCGACAATGCAGCTTCGGAAAAAGAAACTTTCATGGCTTTAGCAGGGGGTTTAACATAGCCCCTGCTGAGTGATCCGGTTCCCGTCAGTGCCTTTATGTTGAGCGCCCGCCTATTGCAACTCACTGCCGGGGGGGAGTGTGTTAATCGGGGCTCCGTGTTGACATGGAACACCATAGCAGAATTTGGAATGCAGCTCCTTGAAAGGAGGTCCTAAGGAAGGAACGGGAGCCTGCCTTATGGGCGTTGTGGGGGACATGCTTCAAAAAGCTACCCACAAGAAACATTCAACCCCACACACTCGGGTATGTCTTGTTTCAGAGGGTAGGGCTTCAGTACTGCAAGGCTGACCCAGGAGCCCAGAGACCGCAAGAACCGAGCCCCAGTAGTGAGCAGGAGCTAGGGGTCTAGGATGAAGCGCCTTTATGAGCTTTCGGCGTATGTAGGGCTCAGAGTTTACGGACGCGGAGTTTGGCAAAGAGAGGGCTTGTAACATTACGTGGGGGGCTTGTTCCGAGGCAGATCGAACAGACTTGGAAAGGAGGAGCCCCAGGCGGAACAGCTGTGCCGGCAAAAAGCTTAAAGACAGATTGACGAAGACTCTTGCAGGCTTGATGTGGAGATTTCTATTGGGGGGTCAAGTACGTCAGTCCATGTTTCAGGCCTCGTTTCGAAGAATTTGAGAGTAGCGTCGGTTCAGTTGTTGTGTTCCGATACGAGCTGCAGGTACAGGTGCACGTAGCGGTGGTGGTGGGGTGGTGGGGTGGTGGGGGTTGGTGCCAGTAGTAGTCGTCATGGCAGCAGCAGGAGAAGCAGCACAACAGGAAAAACTAGCTCGCCAGAAATAGCATCGGGTAGCAGTATTAGCAACAAGAGAACGTCATGCAACAATACACTCAATGCCAGCAACATGAAGACTCGTGCGATACATGTTCATAGTGCTGAGTGTATGAGGAATTCAAGTCCCTCTCTCCATCAAACGTATTAGAATGTAGAACATCAGCAAAGCTGATACAACAAATACTTTCAACTGCATGTCAAACAGCAGTCCAAGACCATCAGCGCTGATAGATTTCACGTGCTTTGGTGACGATTTAGCAGCGCCAAAGATCCACTGGTTCAGAACATGTAAGACAAAACGAAGCGAGACCAGGAATTACAACAACATGCATGATACCCCGACGAGTATGGAGACACAACGCCAGCCCTTAAGCTTCAAGGCCCTACAGCCCTAAAGCCCTCAAGCCC